GTTGGGGCTGAATAATATGCGAAGCTGGTTGTTACTTAACAAACTACATAGGTACAAATTATGTCAGTTGGGGCTGAATAATATGCGAAGCTGGTTGTTACTTAACAAACTACATAGGTACAAATTATGTCAGTTGGTGCTGAATAATATGCGAAGCTGGTTGTTACTTAACAAAGTACATAGGTACAAATTATGTCAGTTGTTGCTGAATAATATGCGAAACTGGTTGTTACTTAACAAAGTACATAGGTACAAATTATGTCAGTTGTTGCTGAATAATATGCGAATCTGGTTGTTACTGAATAAAGTACATAGGTACAAATTATGTTAGTTGGTGCTGAATAATATGCGAAACTGGTTGTTACTTAATAAAGTACATAGGTACAAATTATGTTAGTTGATGCTGAATAATATGCGAAACTGGTTGTTACTTAATAAAGTACAGAAGTGCGAAGTATTATTTCATGTCATTTGGTGCTGAAAAATATATGAAACTGATTTTACAAAATACTAGCAAAGGTATCTGACAAGGCCGGGGTTAAAAAGTTATGTAATAAACGAAGCCGTTGGCCGCTCTTGAACTGTTTTGAGCCGTAGTATAAGAACCGTTATTCTGAATCAGAAATGTGTTTGTTTGTTTATTGAGTATTACGTAAAGTCAATTAAGTCATCTGTGCTAACCGTCCTAATTTTGAAGTGATGAACTAGAGGGAAAACAACTAGTCAACACCAACCACCGCCAACTCTTGGGTCCTAAATTCTTGTGGAAAGTGAATTATAATTACAGTATTTTTAATAATCATATTTGTCGATCATATACACACCATATTTTACATTTCCAAAACGAATGCAAAAATCCACCGTCTTTGTAGTGCCCAATATTGGTTCGAAGAGCAAGACAATGGTTACATCTTCTTGACCAGAACAATATCTAAATCTCAATCCTATTGAGAATTTTTGGGATGTTCTTGATATTTTCATTTGATAATACATTTCCGACATCTCTGCATAGGCCCGGCATGGCCAGATGGTTAGGGCGCTCGAGTCGCAATCTGAGGGTCGCGGGTTCGAATCTCCATCCCACCAAACATGCTCGCTCTTTCAGCCGTGGGGACGTTATAATGTGACGGTCAATCCCACTATTCGTTGGTAAAAGAGTAGCCAAGAGTTCGCGGTGGGTGGTGACGACTAGCTGCCTTCCACTGCTAGTACATATAGCTCTCGTGTAGATTTGCGCGAAATCCATAACAAACAAACAAACATCTGCGCATCAGTTACAATCCTTACTCTTTAACAAAAAATTACAATTGAACAAGACACTTTCAGACATATGGAATGTATGTAACTTCGTTTCTAGGTTATTATCATTATATTAGGTAGAAGTTCTTTATAAAGTGCCCAGTTAAAGTGAATGAACGTTTATGAAAAAGGTACATGCGCTATTTTTAGGCTTTTTGAGATTAATTTTGCAATTTGTTATTACTTTTTTTAAATTTAAGTAAGTTCATTTATAAAATATAAAGTTTTTATGCATTAAAAAGTATTACTATTTGGCATTAAAGTTTGCCAAAGCACAGTTTGGCCTAGAAAAATGACATTACTCCAAACCATAGATACTGATGTATAAATAAACAATAATGTAAATTAAAATATTCTTAGTTTATTTTTATAAAACATACCTGTCATCCCAATGTCACAAATGTTCCAGATAATGCTTTCTAATTACCACACATTGTTCGAAAAATATGGAAGTATCTTGTGTCGCAAACACCTCGTTCTGGTCTTACACACTTACAACAAACAACTTACATGATCTTTGTCAATATACACTTAACTTACTTAAGTTTGCTCGCAAGAAAATATTTGAAATGTTTAGAAATTTATTTTTGAAAGTAAGATAAGCTATTATCTAAACAAAAATCTTAAGCATTATACCAAGGTTTTTTTACATGTTCAGAATCAACTAATAATTAACAAGTATCTTTACTAGAATTACTGACACCCTATCAATAAAATAAACAATTCTGTTGTTCAGTAGCAAATGTATTGCTTTTCAAGCCCTCTTTTTCTTTGTCATAATCTTTCTGTCATTAAAAATACGTTATTGAAGAATTTTCGAAAGAACTTGTAAAAGAAGAATATCAAGGACATGTGGACAAAATAAAACAAAAAAGTTTGAGAAAATGTTTTGCTTAATACATTATTTAGGCATTGAGAAAATAACAAGACAATGTGAAATCTATATATTCACAACTCTAATATCTTGAACTTTTTTTTAATATCATTTAGATTGTAATGAAGTATTACGTTTGTTTTATACGATTCTAAAAAATTACACTTAAAACTCACATTTTTCTCTTCAACTTACATAACAATGTCCGACGAAAACGCATGCACTTACTGAGAGTTAGCTACATTATATTCAAACGATTTTAAATATGTAAATCACGAGTCACGTGAAAACCATAGCCGATATAAAACACGGTGGATCTGTATGTATAAGAACTACATTTTGATGTTGTTTAGCCTGTAATGCTACCGAATGTCTATCGCTTTTGGGAAAGACCTATTTTTATACCATAATAAGTCTTGGAGTTATGTCATTTAACAAAATATATATCGGCATGATACAAAAAATAAATCAAAAATCAAATTATAAGATATCTTTCTAACAGTAAGTTAATATACAATACCGTGTAAAGTAATCTAAAATAGAGTTTACATCTACAATAACGGAACAATACCAAATCTATATCATATATACAAGTTTCAACACTTTCGGGTGTCCTTTTCGGAGCAACGTTGGAAAATGTCCAAACTTGTATCCATATGAATTTGGTATTATTCCATTTTTATGGATTTAAACTATACAGGGATCCCTCGATTAATGCGTTTTCATTTAGTGCGCTAAATTGTTTTCATAACCAATATTCGATTAGTGCGTGCATAATACTCGATTAGTGCGGTAACACACATTTCATTTTAACCATAGTAATTGAAAAGTAACTTTTAGGCACCGAAATTAAAATTGAAAAAAAAAATTAAAAATAGAAAATGGGTAACTATTTTACTTGTCAAGTTATTACTAGAGTGTCCACCCTAGGGACCCCCGACCCCATCACCCCGGGGTATTTTAGCGATTTTTTTACCCCTTGCCCCGGGGTAAAATACTTGAAATACCCCGGGGCAACTCTTCACTATTTTACGGAACAAATATCTTTTTCGTAATAATAATTCATAAAAACCATCGTCCTCATCAAAATTATCGTCATCATGATGATCATCGTTGTTTATAGGAAACGCACCATAGAAAAGGGTAAAACCTTTGCTAGGGCTGGTGAAAGGAATTTGGAAAATGAAAGAGAAACATTTTGAGAGAAAAAAGATCTGAAGAAATCGTTGGCTACGAGTTTAATAGCTTTTTAATTTTTTTTAATCGCTCTAATTCACATAGATTTGAGCTCACTTAAGAATCTTTTTATTATAATGCTTTAAACTTAATAAAAATGACGTCTTATAGAGGTATTTTGAAAGTGACATGTGAGTATTCGATTAGACTTAAATTCTGTAACATGTGTTTTTTTATACTGTGAGATTTTCCAGATCTGTTTCCTTTTACGACAAGCTTGAACAAAAAAGTGATAAAACTTTGTCAGCCTTGTTCTTTGTTCGTATTTAAAAAAATATCGATTTATAAATCAATAAAAAACACCATCTTCACTTTTTCTTATGATTTCTATTTTTTCTTCTAAAGAAATAACTTTTCGAGTTTTCCTTACAACTTCACTTAGTCTTTTGCTCATGTTTAGGAAAAGGTAGTACGTTAAAATGTCTAAAGTAAAAAAAAATTGTCAAAAAATTATTTCAAAGATGCACAAATGGCTTGAGTAGTTAGGCTAATAGCAGACAACTAATTACTTAGGTGATGTAATAACTAGAGTGTCCAACCCGAGGCAATAATTTTTTACCCCGGGGAAGGGTTCCCCGTGAAAAAAAAAATAACCCGGAGTAAAAAATATTTGAAATAAAAGATACTTGATTAAGAAAGAAAAAATAGAAATCATAAGAAAAAGTGAAGATGGTGTGTCGAAATCAAAAATAGGCCTAGAGCACAAACTAGGTGAGTCAACAGTAAGAGCAATTTTAGGTAAAGCTGATGAATACAAAATGAAAGGTAAAGCTGCTTCAAACTTATCATGTGTGCATACCACTCGAAATCAAAATGTTATCGTGATTGAATTAGAAAGATTGCTAACTATCTGGATAGAGGACTGTAACCAGAAAAGAATTCCTTTAAGCATTGATCTCATAAAAGAAAATGCATTAAGTCTCTTTTCAATCTTAAAAGAAGAAAAGTTCAAAGACGAGACAAAGGAGTTCCATACTAGTGCTGGATGGTTTGAGAAGTTTAAGAAAAGAACTAGCATGCATAATGTAAGAATTACAGGGGAAGCAGCTAATGCAGATGAGGAAGCTGCTGATGAATATCCTGAAGTTCTGAAGAAACTTGTGGAAGAAGGAGGGTATTCGGATGAACAAATGTTTAACGTCGACGAGACGGGGTTATTTTGGAAAAGGATGCCTTCCAAAACTTTTCTGGTCAAATCTGAGAGTTCCTAGTCAGGATATAAAGCTGCAAAGGATAGACTAACCCTTTTATTGGGCGGCAATGCTAGAGGAAATTTGAAATTAAAGCCTATGTTGGTTTATCGAGCTCAGAATCCAAGAGCTCTTAAAGGTATAAATCAAGGACAATTACCAATAATATGGAAAGCTAATAAAAAAGCATGGGTAACTAAAGCTTTGTTTGAAGAATGGTTCGTCAAGTATTTTTGTCCAACGGTTGAAGACTTTTGCCGAAGAAGAAATTTAGATTTTAAAGTGACATTTTTGCCCGCAAACACTACCTCTTTATTGCAACCAATGGACCAGGGCGTTATCGCGACCTTTAAAGCATACTACCTGAGAAAGACTTTCAAACAAGCGATTCAAGCAACATCTGGAGAGAATTCTATGAGACTAGTTCAATTTAGGAAGAAATTCAGTATTAAGGATGCTATTGATGATATCCATCAAGCATGGAATGAAATTTCCGTTAAAAATATGCAAGGTGTTTGGAAGACAGTTCTTCCACACTGTGCACAGGACGTCACAGACTTTTCAAAAGATACAGAAGAGGTCATTAAAGAGATTACTCATATTGGAAAAGAACTTGGCTTCGCTGAGATTGACGATGAAAATGTGCAAGAATTGCTAGAAGCTCATTCAGAAGAATTAACAAATGAGGTTCTTATAAATTTGAACACTAATAGAGCATATGAAGACATTGATGAATGTGAAGAAATCTTACATATCCGCCAACATAAGAAGATGACGAATAAGGAATTAGAAGAACGTTTCACGGTTATTGAAGAAGTTAAGGGAAAATGTTTAGAAACAGACCCTGATGAAGATAGAAGCCGTCAAATTTGCAGAAAAATTGATGAGGCAATTTCTCAGTACCGCCAATTATATGAAGAACAGAAGAATACGATGCGACAAGCTACTCAAACTAGTTTTTCATTAAAAAATCAGATCAATAAATTTTAATTCATTGCATTTTTTTCGTATTTTCTTATATACCTATACTTTCATTAAAAAATACGCAAAATAGAAATTAATTGTGAATGAGAATGAAAATTGAGGTACGAATTACATGATTTCCTATAACTTATTATATTCTATTAGTGAGTTTTGGATTAGTGCGGCTTTTTTAAAGAACACATTAACCGCACTAATCGAGGGATTCCTGTACTTCACTAACTTCTCAATTACTGAGTGAACTGGAGACTGACTCAATGTTTTCTGATTCTCATATTTATAATGTAGTTTTGTGTCTAGATATTTCACAAAAACTCTTAATCATTAACTTTCAGGAACATTCTAAGTAATCTTAGATACTTTTATAAAATTACTTAATCTTAACATCATGAAGATATAGTTTACAGTACTAATTCCTTCCTGGTTAGTGAAGTATTTTGAACAATCCAAACACACCATAAAATCGTACACTAACTGTCCATGTATCAACTTTTTTTTTGGTGGTCGTCTTATCTGAAGCCTTTGGTATGCAAGTGGGATGACATTTTGTCTCTTACTGTCACTAGATGTCCTGTTGTTGGAAAAATTCTTCGTGAATAGATAGTCAGTAACCCCACTGGTGGCTCTATCTTTCTTGATCCTTTGAAAGTGGTCTCAATAGAGATTCTGGGCTCTTGCACAGGCAAAATTTTCTCTGGGATTACCAAGTTGGCCATTCTCTCGGCAACACACTTTGAACGTTGATCATGATGGATGAATTTTGGCACGAACCATTGTCCTTTTGGATCATGTAAAACACATAATTGATTATTTTCAGTACAATTTATGGCCCTTCCACCCACCTACCTAACTTTGGACTTTGTCCTTCCTTGCGGCAAGAATTGTCTGGCCATACTATGTCATCTTGATGAAATCTCGTTTTATCAGCATTAATATCATAGCAACTCTTCTTTTTATCTCAAGCTGATTTAAGTTTTTTTAATGTAAAGTCAAGTATGACTTTTCATTCCTCAGGTCCACAAGAGTTCGTCAAATCATCTGTTCTTCAGGACATGCTAGAGTATTTGGTTCCAATATCCCTCCCCCAGTCACTAAATATAGATTTATTGCTAATATCTCCTGGTACGAGTGCTTCACTTATTGGTGGTACAATGGCCACCCTCCCTATTCTCACTGGTGTAGTAATTGTTATGCAGTACATAGCAATTTCCTGGTTATATACTATAAAACTACTTAGAGTAAACCTAACAATGCATCTATATCTCAGCATGAAATCAAGTTCAAATATGCGCTCTTCCTCGATGTTAGTTTCCCACACATCCAACTTTCCTTTTGCTGAAATCTTATGTCTGTCTGCTGTTTTCACCAATCTCTCTAGGGGCAATTTCATACCTTTCATTATGAAATTGTGTCAAATTATTGTACTTGTAGAACTATTGTTGCTTAACATACTGCATTGTTTTTTCTCCAATAAACCCCAATTAACGTCTTATCTTATTCGAGGTAGTTAAAGTATTCCCAGCTAAACTTTGCTCGATAAATCCAGCTATTCCACTTTTATCGATGTCTGGTTAATTCTTTCTTGCTTCTTTGATCTGATTGCGCTTAGAGACTCATCACTATGGTACTGTTTCCTTTCTTTAGTTGCTTCCTTATATTATCGACTGTAATGGGCATATTTCTTGCAAGTATAACAGTCCCGTTTTTCTAGTATCCTCTGTGAAGTGTTCTAATAACATCTTGTCTTTAATCTATAGTTTTTTGTAATATTTCCATTTAATTTCACTTGAAACATATATTTTCTTGTGGTATATATCCTAAATTCTATGTAACTAGTGGTTTGATTCATTTCTAATAGATTACTGATTGGAGGAGATATTTCAATATTTATGGTGCCTTTAGTAGTTTATCTGCAACATTAATGAATTAAAGTTCCATTACTAAATTTAGAGCTTCATTTAAAAACGTCCGTTTACTTAGCTTCAACTTAACTCACATATTCTTGTGTGTTACAGTATCTACAAATTGGTAACATGCCAACGAATCTATCATTCCATAAGGAGCATCCAAATAAGATAACTGAGCAAGTCTTTCTAAATCTTCTGCAAGTTCGGTTAAGGTGTCTTCTTTCCTCCATACTTTGTTCCAGAACTTCCCTTTTGATACTTCTGTTTGTTGTGTCTCTTTAACCTGTTGGATAAAGCAACTATCAATGGTTGATAGTTGTAACATCTGTGAGCTGGAAGGTTACTTAACATTATTAAAACTGATGGACAACATGAAGAATAGCTTGTTGTTCATTATTCCACCTGTTCACATTGAAAATTACTTGAAACTGATAATATTTCCATGGTACCTTTCTGTTATAGACTGTTTGTATTTCAATTTAATGATATTTTTGATTTGGTCAGCTAAATTCTAGAACTGGATTTGTTAGTGTCATGGTCAGATTAATCCTGGAAGGTCCTGATGAACAGATGACACAGCTGTAATGATAAAGGTGTAAACCAACTAGGTTCTCCTATTTTGTATTTGATAGTAAATTGTGTTTTGGATTGGAACTTTTGAAAGAGGTGTGATAGGTTTGTGCTTTGTATTTATCGATTTTTTTTCCAAATGTTTTATTTTGTTATTGACTTTTGTTGTCAGTTTTGTAATTTTAGATTTCCTGTAATACTTTGATGCTGCATTTTATTTCAGATTTGTTGTATTCCCTCTTTACATCCACAATAGTTTCATAGGTTTTTCTTCAATCAGATTTATTTTTGTTCTTAATTCTTCAAATTTTCTGTCTAGTTCTTCTCGTTCTTTTTATTTTCTCTCTCTTTTAATTATTTCATCCTTTCTAGCAAAGCTTGGATCCTACTTCTGGATCTCATTGCCATGTCGGAACAGTGTTTGAAGTGGGAAGGGATGAGATGGAATGCCATCCCAGTTCTTTTCACAAGGGCCCTAAACCATCCCGCTACCTTTTAGTAGACTTTAAGCTTCTCAGAATGTAAAGGTTCAATAGAAGATGTAATAAATATTTATGTCAGCATAGAACTAAGGAGAGAAAATATATGAATGAATGAAACAAGGTAGTACACGGAAATGGTAAGGCCAGTCAGGCCATGGCCTGACCACTTTTTCCTGGCATATATAGCTACGCTTATGTATTAAAATTTGTTCTTTTCTTTAGTTCAATATATTGCGTTCTGTGTATGGTGTATTTGTAATTAAAATAGCTCAATATTCAATCTCATCGCATTAAATTTTCAAACATTTTCCGAGGGACATGCCCTCAGACACCCCTATAAATGGCATGCCTTGTATGCCGGTAGTGTGCTTTACACACACCTCGTGTGTCACATTGTTTAGCTGTGGCAATGGCCTGACCGCTCCAGAATTGCTTCCTATGGCAAAGGATGGAGTGAATGAAACCTCTCGCTCCGGGCTCCGTTGATGTGGCGGAGTTCGTAACCACCAGAGCTTCCATACTATAACGCGTAACAGTATACGTTTGTTTTTATTTAAGTTAGTTCTTTATTGCCTTTTGAAGTATGTCTAACTAATAATCACGTCACACGATTCGTAAATCACTAAGCGAACGTGCAGTTCACCTTATGGTCTAGAATTACATAACTCACGAGCTGCTCGCGAGCATACCCGTGAAGAATTATTATTATTTTTATCTAACATAACCCAATAAGTTCCTAATTTTTAAATTTTGTTACTTTTATAATATTGAATAAAGAATACACGTGAAAAACTAGAAATATAATACTTAGCTTCAAAAATTTCAAAAACCATCCTGCTTCCACATTTCCCCCACTTCAAGAACACTGTATTGAAATTGAGACAACTTATATTTTGCTTTCGCCAAAATAATCCCTTTTCAGACAACAGTATTATCGCCTGATGTTTGGGGCACTCGACTGGCAATATGCAGATGGTGGTCAATCCCACTTTTCATTGATAAAGAGTAGCCCAATAGTTGGTGGTGAATAATATTGATTAGCAGCCTTCCCTCTAGCCTATCACTTCTAAACTATGGATGGATAACACAAACAGCCCTCGAGTGGAGTTGTACAAAATACAACAAACAAACAAACAGTGGTGTTGTAAAACGTTCTATCATTTGGTAGAATCTTTCAAATGATTTGGTGAAAATAATCTGAAGCCCTGTCAACGTAACGATAACAAATTAGTTTATTTCTCCCTAAACATTTGCTACGTTATACTCTCATTTGTACACATCTCACAATTAACGTTTTCACTTACAACAGGCTCCCAAAGACACATTGGTAAGTCTGAAAGCTTATAACGCTAGAAACCGGGTTTCGATACCCGTAATGCATACCGCACAGATATCGTGTAGCTTTATGCATAACTACAAATAAAACAAACACTTTCAACAGAAATTAATGGTATTAGTAGTCCACAACTAACATGCAAACAAACTTACTTGTAAGTTGTACAGTTTCACGACTAATCGGTCAAGTAACTGAATATACATGATAAATAACACCGATCTGAAATGTTCACTTACTTCTCATTCACTGAACGAAATGAAACTACTCAATACTGCAATGATTCTCGTAATTATATGGTAGCCTTATTTGTATATATTTCGTAGTCTCTCGATAATTAATTAACATTCATAACTATTCTAGAACTATTTTATGAACTTTCTAAATCTAGCGCCATCATCATATCAGCAGTTGTCTCTAACAAACAACTAAATTAAAACATTGAAAATATAACTTGCGACAATATATTCAATGTACTTTGCGGCAGGGTGCTTTCCTACTTTTCACAACAGCTTTTCTTAAACAGAATAGCTGACATTTCCAAGTAGAAGGATTTTGTTCCAATTTCTATGCAGTATTTTTGATGGTTGCTTGTGTTATCTGTCAGTTCGATTCTTGCTACAACTGTTTACCTATACAAACGTAAATATTTGCAAGTTTTAATCAATTTTATGAAATTTCACAGAGTTGTTGATGGTTTTTTTTTGCACTGAAACAGAGAATTATGCGTCACAGCTTCTAATTATTTTATATGTCATGATGAAAAATCGTCGCAATTTTCGTCGCTTTTCTCAGATCCCATATGGCTATCACAATTTGTATTTATTAAATATCTTAAAATATATAATAGGGTCATCTCTTCTAGAAAATCAAAACAGACATTTATATTAAACGGTATTGAAAACACATCTTACTCCTCCTCGATCCAACTCCACTACCGAATTCGTAATTTCGTATATTAGGCTAACCGGAAAAACAGCTTTGTTTAAAGTATCGAGAAGTAGAACGAGGTTCGGAGGCAGCGCTGCAGGTAGTCTGTCCTTGTAAATTGTATAGAAAGACCCGTATCGTTAGAATAAAGTTGCGTGATGGCTGTTAATGTTACGAAGTCTTATATTGGTGTTCGTCGTTTTTTAAGTAATTTATTCTTGAGATCGTCAGTAAGTTTCTTATTATACCATATTTGGATATCAAACTATCTGTTATTGTTTAAAAGATGTTTGGTAAAGATTCAGATCCTGATGAAAATGTGTGTTATCAATTAATAAACTTTAATACTATACTATGTAGTACTGAGTGCTGTTGTATCTATGGGAGATAGAAGTTATAACAATAGGTGTGTTTTTACACAAGGAAAAGTTTGTTTAGCTTGTGTTAAGAATTTTAGTTCTAAAGCTATTCTGTATCTTGTTGAGTTTTGTTTTGTCCTCTAGGCCCTAACTTAAAACTAAAAGTTAAATATATTGTACTTTTGAAGTTAAAGATGTAAATAAAGTCTAAAATAAAATACATTTTTACCCAACATGAAAGGCCAGGTGACTTTAAAATTTTGTTTTTGAGTTTACAATAGCTCACTTGATGCTTATGTTTCTTTTTGATCTTTTGTTTTTCAGTTGAAAACGCAAAAAGGAGTACTTTTTGAACCAGATGTGAATACTTGTAAAGCCACTTTTGCTTTATCCTGATTTTGGTTTCCTGAAGCACAGTTTGGCTGTGCGTCAGGAGTAATTCATACCCGTGTAGGTTACACAGGAGGAAAAAAAATAAATCCAACTTACAGTAGTTTGTAAGTTGAAATATTTTTTTCCATTACATTTATGTTGAAAAATGAGCCTGCATTTGTAAGAACACCTAAAATTAAAAGAACAAATTGACAAAATATCAATCAGTTTGTCCAGTCACCTCACCCACCAAAGAATCATACAAGTAGGAATATATTTTGCTGCATTTGTCATACATTTATTCTTTCTCATTAACTTGATCCCTGGTCACAAAACCTGTTGCATCTTATTAGCTCCAAAATCTGGTAGCCCTTTTTTATTTATCATCTAACTGTATTTTATAGTTTATACTTCATGTATTTTTATTCTTGGCTACAAAAAGGTGTTCTAAATAGTTTTTTTAATAGATTGAGTTTGAACCGTTAAAACTTGCTTAATATTTTTAATCAAATCAGTTGCCCATTTACAAGATACCTAAGTTCACTCCAGCAGGCTTGTATTTCTTTTTGCTTTCACATTTTAAAACTGAAAACAGAGTACTCCAAATTATGTTACCAGAATCTCATAAAATGATTTAATAATACTTATTTTGTTCATCACAATTTGGTATACTTACACATCTTTACATAACAGGTTTTACTGTTATTCTGTATTACAAAATGAGAAAGGTATTGACTATAACTTAACCTCTTGATGTTAGTTTTAAAACATAAGGATTAAGGGGGGTGATAAAGGTATTCAAAATGGTGTGTTGAGAGGATTAACTACCTATAATCAGGCTTTTTCATTACTAAAAGAATAGAGCTACATAATGTGACTTGAATTTTAAGGTCATTATTATAGGCTTTGGAGCCCAGGATGCATATTATTTAAAGGTAATCTAGTTGTAGAAACATTTGTTTAAGGAAGTGATGTGCATTGTTAGTTTGTTTCCCAAATGAACATTCATTCTTTTTTACTAGATGAAGAAATGGCTCACTGCTGATTATTATTATTTTTTGGTTCACTAGTTTTCAAGCAACCTTTAATTGTAACCCATCTTAGCAATGGAAAAGTTATTTTTCAAAATATCGCTTGTAATTTTTATCATTCATTATATTAAAGCAAGAATATGGTGATATTGCAGAGGTGACCACACAGAAGCAGTTGAGATTGATTATGACCCTGGAGTTACGAACTATGAGGAGCTTTTGGAGATATTTTGGGCTAGTCATGATCCCACTCAGACACACAAGAAACAGTACATGACTGCTATCTTCTATCATGATGATGACCAGAAAAGACTAGCTGAAGTGACAAAAGAGCACATGCAACGTGCAGTAACTCAGCCAATTGTGACCTTAATACTCCCTGCAAATAAGTTTTATCTTGCTGAAGAGTAAGTATACAACAGTAACTTTGTTTTTTCATCTACTCTATTATGAATATTATTCTATCTGAATATACTGTATAGCATAAGAACTGTTAAGGTGAGAGAAAGACTTCTTTACATTGGCAATACTTATTTCTCTTTAAAAGAATTAAATCCAGAATTACACAAAGATAAACGTAACCTTTCTGATTAATTCATCTCCTCACAAAAAAAACCCTACTTTCAGCACACAACATTTAATTAGACAAGTCATTTCAGAAGTTAATGATTTAAAGAAGTAATTCTGCTTAAAAGCAAGCATGAAACTATGTTTTCTTTTTCATTATTACTATCAATCCTAGTCTTAAAATAATCAGTCTTCAGCAAGTTATCTGAACCTTTAATGATTTTGAGCACCAAAAACAAATTACCTCTAATTTTGCATGTTCCGAGGAGAACAATTTTTAAGATTTTCATTAGATTTCTTTATTAACCAATGTTTTTACTCTGTAAAGAACTTGGAAGGGTTTAGAAAATGTCTTGTACAGGTTATTCCAGAAGTAAGGACCAACAGGGTAAATATACATTATATTCTTAGTTAAACAAACCCATTTCTAATGTCAGGAAAAAAAAATACCCTGATGGTACAATATACCAAACATTGATATGTGTATGGTTGTTAATGGCATGCAGTTTGAATAATAAATAAATGAAGAATAAACTGTGTATTTTTCCCTATGGGTCCAGACTTCTGGGACACAGTACAAAGCAATGGTGATTATCTTATGAAAAATTTCAATTGAATAATAGATAATTGTATTTTTTAGGTTTTCACAGCTAACAAAGAACTAGAAATTTTTTACCACAATACTAGTATCTTTTATACAAAAAAAATGTTTTTCCAAACTTTTAAACACCAATTTAATTAGTTTTACACTTGTTAATTTTAAACCACGTTGAGTTTGTGGCCACTATTTGCTTAGTTACAAAGACAGTGCAATATAGCAGTTTTAGCCTTCACTTTAGTAACTTCAGGAAATAAAGCTCTTCTTTATTTTGACTAAATTATTATCACTGTCATTGACTTAAATGATTCATCACAAATCAAAAATAAACCTGAGGATATTTACAGTATTATCTTTCTAGTCAAGAGTGGTATATTTATTCATTCATATAAATGTTATTTAGTAGAATGATAGTTTTTAACTCATTTTATTGTTGTTTTTACATATATGATAAGGTTATTGAAAGAGAATGCTACCATTTTTTTCAATAAAAAAGTATATACTGTAACCTAGAAAAATAATTGTAAAAAAGTGCTGAACCAATAAAATAATAAAGTACATGTAGTTCAAAAAGGGGCTAGAACCAAAAGTAGGATCATAAATCTGTCTTTATTTGCAGACTATGTAATCATATACAATTTTTCAAAATGATGGCCTCTCTTTTTTTTTAACTGATGATTTGAGCCTTAATGTGTGCATCTGCATGTACACACACACACACACAAAGCAAGAATTACACATAAATGCTAACTAAATACTCATAAAACAGACTTATTTTTGACTACTTACACGTGTTTAGATATACCTTGTGTTCTTAAGTATCAATTATTTGTAGTTGCAGATCTAACCTGAATTTTTCTAGTTACCACCAAAAGTACATGCTTCAGAACCATCCTGCATTATTCCATAGTCTAGGCCTTACTACAAGTGATGTGATTGATTCATTTGTTGCTACACGTCTGAATGGATACCTTGGAGGATTTGGAGATAGATCTCAATTTGAAAAAGAATGGCAGAAACTTAAGATCAGTGAGGAACAAGCTGATTATATTTGCTCTCATCTTGGAAAACGTGGAAGCACTGCTAATATAAAGAATTGTCACTAAACTAGGAAGAGAGGAAAGAAATTGTGATAATGTTGAATAATATATTGATATTCTTTAATTTTCTCACCTTGAATATATTACCCCACTAAATATACTAAAGAATAATGCTTTTGTATTGCTGTCCATCATAAACAAAGGTGTGAAAGTGTAAATTTCTGAAGGATCTGTGGGTCATTGTTTGTGTAAAATGTGTTATTTCTGGTATATATAGTATTTCTTACTTCAACAATGATCAAGACAGTCAGTACAGGAATATTTTGTATTTTCTGTGGTGTAGGTTTGTATATTAATATCCAATTTATAAATGATACATACAAATTAATAGTAATTCTGTCTTCTGGCCTTCACATCATTGTACTTTGAAAAGAAAATTGTAGGTTTCACATCCTGTTAGAAAATCTTTTCTTTGGTGTAGTAAAAAAATTTTTTTTTCCTTTGAAACACTAATATAAAATGACAGAAAAGCTCCCAGAACTTATGTATAAAAATAATTTCACATGAAAATGTATATATACACATAATCAAGTATTTAGTTAAACAAAGAGAGAGATAAAGCTGCTAGATTTATAGCTTTGTATAAGCTGTGACATAGATGTAAGTTATATAAGTGAAAGTTGTGATTTTTGTGTGTATGTGGTGATGCTGATATCTATGATGTATGTTGGTAAATTTGATACTAAAACCAGCATATTGATGTTCACACAGTGTCACTGGATAAAAATAGTTTTAAATATATGTACTTACTCCAAAATAAAGTGTAATTGAAAATGTAGTTCACTACCATGTGTGTGTATATTCTGAAAGAAATATTAAACTTGCAGGAAGTTTGCAATATAATGATAGGTCCTGAACTTTCTATCTATTATTACACATTAAGGTTTAATGAACACTTATACTCACACATATGCATGAAATATAATGACATACTGTATTACCACAGTATTTGAGTTTAAATAATTTATGGGTCAAACTTTGTAGTTACCCATGAATCTTGCCTACTTTAGCCATTATTGAAATATTATGACTTCACAATCTACAAGTAACAAATAATTCCAACATATACTTAATGCAAGGCTTGAAACTTTTTATTTTTTGCTTTGTACACTGACAAATATTTGCCAGATAATTAACAACAAAAAAAGTAATTTTTATCAATGAGTGCAATGTTACTGTTTATTTAATCAAAATTTACAGATTGTGGTTACTGAGCTTGTAACTTTATTAACAGAATGTGTTCTTCCCTTGAAACATTTTTTTTTTGGTGAGGGTGAGTCTAGTCTGCAGCATTGATAATCAGACAACCAACCTGTTGACTTTGTTTTGTATTGCCACTCTCTATTGACCGTAATTCTCACAAGCTGATCAGTGGATTTGGGTCCAAACAGCAGTGCCAATAACTTTTTATTCTATCCAAGTTGCTGTAGTCATTCTCACAGCATACAGTTAATATGTGATAAATTTGTCAGAAATTAACTATTTTATAATGTGCTAAAGTATCATCTACCAGCATCAATTTGGCTTATATTCTGCCACACAGACAGTAAATTGGTAACACACTTCATACATGACTGTCTCCAAGTCTTCCTGCTGCTCTTCATCCAGGTGCTCAACACATTTGAGAACCAGAACATCTAAACTCGTTTTCAAGTATTGAACAGCCTGTTCCTGAATCCAAGCAATGACCTGCCTGAAATTCTTTAGGAACTGTTCTAGATCATTTTTTGTTGTCCACTTGAATATCAAGGATGTGATCTGTTTGTCCTAACTTAGAGAGACCTATGCTGCTGGCCAAAGCTTCTCCCTTGCAGGATCCTGACCAATTCCAGGTCCAAGACTACAGAGTAATGAGCTAATTGGGTTGGCTTGTCTTACAGCTCTGCATGACCACAGGTATCAAAAGCTGCTATTAAGATCATGGAGAACCTTTCAGTTTTCAAAGGTACATCTCATGTGTTCCCAAACTCACCAGACACCTTCTGTTGCGATTAGTAAACAGGGATACTATCTGCTCAAAAGGTCTGGGTGTACCAGAGGCAGGCAATTCTCCAGTCTGTGGCTGCAAGCTTACCAATGTCATGGACCTTTGCAGCATTGACAGGACTTATTGACTTGACATTCTTACTTACAACTGTCTCTTTTTGCCAATCTTTCCATCTTGAATATATTTCTACACCCAGAATAAACAATTCTAATCATAAAAGCATTCCTTTAAAATCCAGTGGTTAATTAATGATTAATACGTATGTTATCAATACAATATATCCTGTTGTCACAACATCAAAATTTCTTATTCCTATCTACTTGTGGTATTCTCAGGTAAAACTGATTTATTCACAACTATTTGACAGGATGCTTTTACAGCAGTAATGACAAGAAATTTGTGAAGTAATTATGATTAACAACTGTGTTCTTTAATTTATTGAAATGGAAAAATTTTCAAAAAACAAACACAATCTTTATTAAAAGAAAAACAAGGTGCAAAGTTGCACAGACGAGATCACAACCGAAAATTCTACTAGAATTTGTTTAGTCCTGTGGCTTTCACTCTCTTGGGATTATCTTGAATATGGTCTATACTTGAAGATTTCTTGACAGAACTGAACCAAGAAAATGTACTTGAATTCAACAGGTAAACTTAGTTCTTTGTCTATTTGATATTGTCATCCTGGTTTTCTCATCTCATTTACTGGCTGTAACATACATACATCATCCAGCAAAAAATACTACAGTCATTGGTCCTTTCAATATGGATGTGCTATATTACTGCAACATCCCCTCATGCAGATTAGGCATTATTTACAATAGAGAATAACTTAAAAACCATCTAGAACAAGACAACGGTTTTCAGGCCCATGTGTTGACATGACAGCTGCATAAAAAAATAAATCTTTATTTAATTCAGATATTACTAAAAAGGTAGAAAACATTATATGCCTACATATTTCTATGCTAACTGCTTTACAGTTGCTTAGTGACAGCCACCACTTACTTACAGTGAGTCTTTAACCATTGTCTGGTTATTAGTAAAAGAGAGCCTCGGTACAGTAGAGACTAAAGGCAATAAGACTAGTAGTGCTCCTTCCTCGACAAATGGCTGAAATCAGGCTAGTCAATGTACAACAGTTGGCCACTATATCCTGACTGTGATATTCCTTTTAGTATAAGCATCTTTCCATTCACTTTAGTTTCTGAAAGAAGCATTGGATATCTTGAAGGAACATCAAAGCAATGATTTGTAATTGTCACTTATGCCCTCAAGCTGTACTTTTAAACACAACTTGTACACGCACACAAGATATTCAATTAAACATTCAATAAAACTGTTGACTTTAAAATTTCAGTCCTGCAAGATAGAGAATATTCTATCAAAATCAATAGAAACATCAAATTTAACATACTGTTACATCTCTGTGTTCGTTTGTTAATTTTCCGTAGAAATTCTTTCCGAGAAACTTCAGCGACACAAGTCCTTTCTTAAATAAAAATAGTTTATTCTTTCTCAAGTCAACTTTGCAATACACTTAAATTCCACAGTCACTTTAACTTCCACACACGCTAGAATTCACAACGTTTCACGCACTTTACTTACGGCCACTACAGCGCTTGACTCAATTGTCAGTCTCTGTCTGTCTGCAATTCTATTCCCGATTAATTAATTTCGCTTTGTCTAGCGCACTTATATACAAAAATAGAGGGCGCGTAGAAAAGACCAGAGTTGCCACAAACAGACATGATCCTTCTAGAATATCATGACATGTTACTAGGGTCACGTGACTTCCGCTGTCGTAACAATACTTTCCCTCTGTATTACTCAAGCTACTATAAGTGTTCCAACAGTCGACAGATAATTTCACTAATGAATATTTCAGTTTTGGCATATTCTACATTAAAATGAATGACAATGAGATAATACAATGCTTTTCTTACATAGTGTAAACTAAGAAGCTACTCTTATCGTATTAGAGAAAACCTTCATGATCAGAATGGTTCAATTAAAAACAATTATTTAACCAGAATCAATGAAATATTGAGTGCATCATATTGTTACGACATCGAGGTCACGTGACTAGTATCACGCCACGTCATTCTCGAACATTCACGTCCTTTCGTTC